AAAAAACAAGTTTGCACCATATTCTTATGCATACCAGTGCTGTGTGTGAGGTAATTTAAGGTGGTTCTGACAAGTGTCATCGGCTTCTTCATATCCGGTCACATGTGCAGCAAGCCACTCCCATCCGGTCACATGGGCAGCTAGCCACTCCCACAAAGGAGGCCACACCCACAGAGTAGGTTCGAACAATTTTTGAAACCCACCACTGCATGTTATATAGAAAAATGATAGAAACATAGAAAACTGATGACAGAAAAACATCCATAGAGTCTGCCCTTAGAGTTTTTTTGTTTGTGTTTCCTTTTTAATTGACTTATTATTATTTTAATTATTTATTTTTCATTTTTCACTACGCAGTCAGCCCGATGTTCAGACTGGATTTGGCATATTTGTCAGCCAACTGATTTTTTTTAAAATGTCAGATGATAGACATGATATCAAAACAGTGCCATCACTTAAAAAAAAACAACCATGGATGATGGCATAAGGCAGGTTTTGTAAATGTATAAACCAATAGCGGAGAATATTTGTGGCTTAGGGTTGTACTGTTGAATTGACCCACTGGCACTGATGACGTTACCTACTTGGGTAATGAAATGTCTGCAAGAAAACAACCAAGATCAAAGAATACCAAGGAACCCCCCAGTGGTGGGATTCAAATCATTTAACAACTAGTTCTTTGTCCTAATGACCAGCTGAGTAGGCGGGGCTTGGTGTCATGTAACTGGGTGGGCATGGCCAATTCAGCGTCACTCACGTTGATGGGCGCTTCGCATTAGCTGTTACTATGTCATAAGGGTTAACCGGAGAGGCAGTTTCTGTAAGCAGGGCAATAAGGATCGTGCTAGAAACAACACCAGAATGTTTCCTTCCTGCCTTCCTTACAGGATTAGCCCTGTAAAGTGGGAAAAATCAAAAGGAGATTTCTTCCAACAACCGATTCTCCAAACTGCTTAGAAAGTTAACAACCGGTTCTCCCGGATAGGTGTGAACCGGCTGAATCCCACCACTGGAACTCCCCCTCCCAACTTGCAAATGCCATAGAAAGTATAATAGACAAAAGATTGGTAGATCGGTCAACGGGATTTAAAATTATGAATTTAGTGGTCCCTGAGGTCCAAAAGGTTGGCAACCTCCGATCTAGGTCATGGCTGACTCAAAGGTACTTTTTCAAGAGGCAACTGGGCTTTCTGGTTTTTCGTGGCACAACGCAGGAGAACAAACACATCGGGTCTAGATGCAGCAGTCTATCTGCATTTAAAAGATAGAGGCCACTTTGCTGAAGACAGCAAAGTCCACATTTTGGACAGAGAGGACCTCTGGTTGGAAAGAGGGGTCAAAGAGGCCATCTAAGTCAAAATTGAACAGCCCACTCTCAAGAGAGGGGGGAGATACAACATCATCTATGTCCCATCTATAACACAGTCCTTTCAATGGTTCCAAGAAGGCTCCACACCCATTTCCACCACTCAGAAATGGTGGATGACACAAATAAACCTCCAGGTGACCTTAATGACTTTCTAAAAGAATGCAAATGACCCGCTGTCTGCAAGGAGTATAAATCCTTCCGTTCCCCACCATCCAGTTAGAGCTGAAGAAGCTTCTTGGATGAGAAGCACAAGGTCTTCGAAGAAAAACCAGGAAATCCAAGTGTCTCTTGAAAAAGCACCTTTGGGATAAATCTTTGCAAGTTTCATTCAAATCTAGGAACTTAATTCAAAGCCTTTTTAATTTGTGTGGATAACATTTCTGCATTTTGGTTTTTAGTCCTTAACATTGACTACAGAAGACTGCTGGATAATGCATATTATTATTCAGATTTGTGAAACTGTTTAAGGTTTGTTGTTAACCAGGTTTTCTTTATGAAGATAATTATAAGTGAATTGTCTTGTGATACAGTACAGTTTTTCTAATGCTTTTAAGTACCACTGCCATGGGAAAGTGACATACAAATAAATAATGATAGTAGACAAGTTCCTATGTCTATGAGCAGGTCCATGATCCATAGTTTAGATCCCGATTAGAAAATACGTTTTTTTTCCTTACCATTCAACTGGAAGGCAGCATCAATCTTCTCATCAATTTCAGGAAAATCATCGCTTATATTCCTTGGATAATCCTCATCCATGGACCGAGTATTTTCATCATACCTGAAAAAATGCAATTCAAGGGGCATATTAAGTGCAAGATGTTCCTGGTGTGAATGCAGCCCATGGTCCTAATGAAAGACAGTGAGAATAGCTGTTGGTGTAAAAAGATGTGGGGAAAGATGAAATAGATACAAGCAAACAGAATCCAAATGGAGAACAATACAATTCAGAAAGCTCTCAACTTAGTAACATTGTAAAGTTCGTTTAGTAACTGATCGATCCGGAGTTCTGTTATCGGCTACAGAGGTCTTCAGGACAGCCTTGCTGGCTGCAGGAGAAATGGGACGCTGTGTGGGAGGCCTGGTTGCAAGTAACTGAAGTTGAAGAAGTTCCCGAAGGCCTCTGACAGTGAAAAGGAGGCCAGGGGAGGATGCGCACAAGTGAGGTCAGTCATTGGATGGCATCCCCGAAAATAAGACCTGGTGCCTTTTGTGGTGGCAAAAAATTATAAGACAGGTCTTATTTTTGGAGAAACATGGGTATATATGTATGTGTATATATGTTTAATGTATGTATATGTCAGGGGTGGATTCCTGCCAGTTCTAACCTCTTCTATAGAAGAGGTT